GTTCAAATCACTCTATAGTCTATCCGAAACTCACCCGAGCCCTCGGGGCTCCAAACCAAATATGCACCCGAGTCTAAAAACATCATACAAACTTGCTCGCGTGATCGAATCGCCAAAATAACACCTAGAACTATGAATTTAGCACCAAATCAAATGAAATTCTCAAAACACTTTAAAATTTCTATTTTCTCAACCAGACGTCCGAATCACGTCAAACCAATTCCGTCTTTTATAAAATTTCACAGACAAGTCATAAATGTGATATTGGTCCTATACAGGGTTCCGGAACCAAAATACGGACCCGATATCTAAAAATTCAACTATGGGTCAAACCTTTCAAATTCATTAAGTCTTTAACTTTCAAATTTTGGCAAAGTCCAATATCTCGGGCTAGGGACTTCCGATTTCAATTCCGGGCATACGTCCAAGTCCCAAATTAAGATACGAACCCATCGGGACCGTCAAAATATGAGTCCGAGTCCGTTTACCAAAAATGTTGACCGAAGTCAACTCAAATGAAGTTTTTAGGCAAAATTTCTTATTTTCAACAACTTTTAACATAAAAGCTTTCTGGAAACATGCCTGGACTGCGCACGCAAGTCGAGGAGGGTAAAAATGAGATTTTTAAGGCTTAAAAGCGCATAATTGAGTTCTAAAATACAAGATGACCTTTCCGGTCATCACATATTAATACTTAAGTTGTAGTAACAACAACATTTAAATGTGTTATAGTAAGATTTAATCGAATATATATATATACACAACAACATTTATATATATATATATATATATATATATATATATATATAGTACTATACTATTCTATATCTACATCTTATATATAGTTCTATAAGATGTAGTGCTATATTAATACTTAAGTTGTAGAAACAACAATATTTAAATGTATTATAGTAAGATATAATCGAATATAGTAAGATTTAATCGAATATAATTGCAGAAAAAGTTAGGCAAGTGTACGATTCTCCATATCCATTGCGGAGGGATAAGGCTGATTGGTTGGTTGTAATCAAAATTAGGCTTGTAGGTAGGGTGGAAGTTGAGAATGTGCTAGATGTTGCTTACCTAAACGATACCTCAAGTGTTAACCAAATGGTAGATGATCAGTTAGAAAATGACTTGGAGCATCCTCAACGCATATTAGAAGTTGATATAGAGGAAATAACAATCATGGAAAATGAAGATGAAGAATCACCTAATGAAAATGAAATAATTGAAGAGGAAGAATTTTCAGACAAGGAAGGATACGTCGAAAACGACTAGCATGTTAGTTTTTCAGGCGCTCTCAACTTATATAGATTTATATTCTCAATTCTAACATTTTCTTTAATTTATGCAGATGACTGGTAGGGGTCAAGGTAGGTCTAGGAAGTATAAGAGGCCTATTGATCATGATGATGGTGCTACACCCTCGCTTCCTTCCCCTCCACACTTGCATCCCTCCGCTGTTGTTGGCCGGCAACAATCTTCTAGGCACATATCTATTCCACCACATCTATCTACTCATCAGACTACCTACCATTCGCCCTCCCATCAGTATTCCTACCATTCTCCACCACAGGGCTATGCCCCGCTTCTTCCATATGATACTGCATGTAGTTATATGGGTCCATCGAGTCAGCAGTCACAGGGCTATATGGTACGCCCGTCATATGCTCCATTTGCTTCATCAGCAGCTGGATCACATCCATCTAGATTTCAGCCAGCCGGATGGCAGCAGTGGTCTGGATCGATGTAGGGGTGTGGATCGCAACCATCTTCATCAGTGACCCCGTCTCCCTCTCCACGGAGTTCGTCTCTTAGCATTTCTAGACTTTGCATTCGGGATAGTAGCGTTGAGCAAGATGCCTCCCCTTCTGCGCACGCTTCAGATTCATCCGAGGATGATGATCTAGAGGAAGTGCGGTATGATCGTTATCATAGGATGATCATCAGGCCTGAGGGCAATGGGTAAGATTTATTTTTTACTTCTTTATTTTTGCTGGATTATAATAGCTACTCTTGTTTATTTAATGTAATTGCTATGTTGCAGGTTCATACCTAATCATCGGACTACAAAGATAATCACTGAAGTCTTGGCCGGTTGTATGATGCACCCTATGCGACTTGGAGCGACTTTCCACCGGAGCTCGTGTAGCAAATTTTCAACCAATTTAAGGTTTTAATACAATTCTTATCTATTTAATCATTATATTAACAATATTTTCATCTAACGTATATACTTTATTTGCAGACTAAGTGTGCGTGGGAGGACCGCTATAACAGAGAAATTTGTGCAAATTTTGTGTTCAAATGTCGTAAGAGACTATCTGATTCCTTCTGCTCTGCTCGAAAGAAGAACAAGAAGCCTTTATGGGTTCTATCGCATTTATGGGAGGATCTGCTGAGGCGGTGGACCACCAAGAAATTCGAGAAGAGGAGTGAACAGGGAAAGAAGGCCCGAGCATCTGAGAAGGGTGGCTCGTTGCACTGTGTGGGTTGCAAGGAGCATGAGGCTACGAGGAGACTACTGGTAATTCATTAAAATATTTACATCTATTTTTATCGAACTATATTTATATATTTTAATTTAGTTAACATGTTTTATTATATTTGTAAGAAAAAAATATGGGAGGAAGATGACTCATGATGAGTTCTTCATGGAGACTCATATCCGGAAGAAGAAGGCACCGACAGATCCAACTAGATGGGTCGAGGACCGAGCGGAGACTGCATATGTAAGTTTCATAACTACTACAAATGTTTATAATATTATATAGTAGATAATTTTCTATAAATAAAGGTTCACTACAAGATTAATGTGGAGGAGTACACTCAGAGCTTGCCACCGAATAAGCAAGGCGAGCGACCACCCCTTTCAGACGAAGAAGTGCAGAGGATATGGTTGGATGTTGTCGGTGTTCCTAATTAGGTGATAGCATACGGCCTTTCAGAGAGATCATTTCGGCGCTACAGGGCTAGATTGCGAGGTATAGGGACTTCCGCCAAGGCGAGGCAATTGATAGGTCAACTATCTCGTCTATGAAAAAGAAGATCACAAAGCTGACAGCAGAGCTTGAAGAGACAAAGGCTAGAGAACAAAAGAGAGATGAACAATTTGATACTCTTCAAGTTCAACTAGAAAAGAGGGACGGACAATTTAATCTCCTTCAAGGTTATCTCGTCAATCTTCTTGTTAGTGGTGCTTTCCCCATTCCTCAGTCTCGTGAGCCTTCCCCATATGCTAATCCTTCTCCTCGTGATCCTTCGAACCATGCCGACGATGAAGGTTCTAATAGTGAAGATGGAGATGATGCAATATAAAATACTTTTATTGCTAAACAAAGTCTTGAACTTGTGAATATTTAGTTGAAATTATTTCGAATGATGATTGTATTGTTGATATAATTTTGTTATTGAACGCCTGTATAGTTGTTGTTGTTGTTGGCGTTATAGTTGTTATTAGCGTTGTTGTTGGTTAATTGTTGTTGTTGTTGTTGGTTAATTATTGTTGTTGTTATTGGTTAATTGTTGTTGTTGTTGGTTAATTATGGTTGAATGGCAGCAATATAATGCTACCATTATAGGATGGATATTGGTTGTAATTGGCAGATGGTGTAGCTTAAAAGCAGACATATTCTGCCCGATTTTTACCCAGAAAACCGACCGAAGTCGGTCGGATATTTCATTTTTTTCCCAAAAATTCAAAATTTCCGAGCAAATTCGGTCAAAAATTTCAAATGAAATCTCCAGATTTTTGATCGGTCGAAAATTTTGAATTTAAATTTATTTATTTATTAGTAATAATTTTGAATTTAAATTTATTATAATTTATAAATAATTATAAAATTATTATATATTTAAAATTCCGACCGATGTCGGTCGCTATTTGAAAAATAAATAAAATAAAATTTAATTATGATTTTGGTCGGTATATTTGGTTTGGTTGTCAGTCAACGCGTTGAAAATTGCAACAGTTTTCGATCGAAAAATTGCGACCGATTTCGGCGCAACACCTTAGCGACCATTATTTTTCCAACTAATTAAAAGCAGCCGAAAATCGATCGCTTTTCCTCAATTTTCGATCGATATCAGTCGGTTTTTCTGGACGAAATTACCCTATTTTTTAGTGGTAAAAATTAATGATCATTTAACAATTTAGGAACCAATTCACAATCTGTGTGAATAATTTTATTTTAAAACAGTTATTCTTCTAAGATCCCTTATAAAATGAAAGGAGCTCTTAGAAAGGTAACTGAATGCGTATCCGGTGTGGCACTTGATTTTCAGGAAGATAAGTGGGATATCGCTAAATGGAGTATACCTCTAGAAATAAAAATTCCGATTGAATGGACAGATGTCTTCTTTAAGAAAGTAAAGCACTAGGCGTAGGAGAAATGACAACATGCCCCTAATCGGATTGAAGGTCAGACTGCACATTACATTCAACTCGGATGAGCTTGGGGCGAACAAGCATATTCTATTACAAGGTATTAATACTAGTTATACGCCCGTGCCTCTGCCGGTTAAAACTTTTCGGATGTGCTTCATCAGTGGCTCCCTATTAACAACCTAGTGCAAATTTAATATACCAATCACTAGTGTGGCAATTACGCCTAATATGTTAGCATACGCAGTTCTATTCATGAATATCAAGTGAAAAAATTTGAATAGTTACATATACTCCCTCGTCTCAAATTAATTTTCATATTTTCCTTTTACACGCCCCTTAATAAAACATTAATTAGGAGGGATTTTGAACTAGTTTACTCTTATTTATGTCTTAAGATATAATCTCTTTTTGTTGAATAGTTGCTTTACTTATGTGTTATTTTCATCTTCATAAACAATTATTATTAAGGGTAAAATGGGAAAAAATTAATTATCTTGAACTTCTAAAATGACAAACAATTTGAGACAACCGCTTTTAGAAATTACGACAGATAATTTGTGAAGGAGAGAGTATAAAATAATTATATAATGCTAGTGCCTTGAAGTTAATGAAACTCTTTTCATTAATAATAATCAACATAATCATCACAATTATCATAAGATGAGACAAAGTCCCTAGTTTTGAAATATTGGGGAATATGAGGTGGGGTTGTACATCTCAAGAGTGCCCAATTCACACCATCAAAGAAAGAATGTTGTTTGATTGTTGTGGCCCCCATTATGGACCCCATTCTCATGGTAGGGTCCTTGACCAAAAGTTGGGTGATCAAGTCCTTAGCCAAGGTTGGAACCATTGGTTCCTTAGGGAACTCAAAGGGTCGAGCCACAATGTTTGACAGAGTGAACTCATTGTCAAGTCCTCTAAAAGGCGTCACACCATATAGCAATTCATACATGAAAATCCCTAGTGTCCACCAATCCACTGCATTGCCATGGCCTTCCCCTGATACAATTTCTGGGGCCAAGTACTCGTGGGTCCCAACAAATGACATTGACCGTGCCTCGATTGGCTCTGCTACCATCCTGAACGGTCGTTGACTCGTTTTTCTTCTTCGTCGCTTGTGTTTAGAGAACAAGCACGAGACATGTGGCACGATACAATTTGGTAAAATGCACGAAGGTGAAGAATTATATGGAGGCGAATTATTGGAGGATTGATCATTTGAATTATGATCTAGCTTTGGACTACTTTCTTGAACAAGCTGAGGCATTACTATTGAATCATCACATTTTAGTGAGAGATCAAAATCAGTTAACATAATATGACCATCTGATCTTACTAACACATTTTCAGGCTTTAAATCACGATAAATTATTCCCATCATGTGTAAATACTCTAAAGCAACCACCACTTCTGATGTGTAGAACCTGTTACATCAAATAGACAAAGTCACATGTTACATTAATTAGACATGAATAAGTTTCAGCTAATAATAGAAAGCACATAATAATAGGACACATTAAATATTATGTTATACTAATCTATTTCCATATCATCTTAGAAAATTGCCAAAGTGGTCCATAGGCAAACTGGACAAACATTCACATTGACTACTACGTCAATCATTCAGGACATAAGTTAATAAAATATAATTGAAATAATTAATTGTAGAGGAAAAATAAATGAGTACGGTGGCTGGAATGGATAGAATTCCTCCAGACTTAATTAGAATTTTAGGAGTTCGAGCCCTGGAAATGAAGAATTAATTAGCGGATAAAATAATGTTTCTCCATTTTTTTGTTTGGTTTATCACCAGAATTGTACAGTACCTTCTTTAGGGCCCGACTAAATTCCTATTTACGCAGGAAAGTCACATGCTAGGAATAAAGCGCTAGCTAACTAATAAAAGTGACTTAACTAATACCCAAGCTCGAACCCAGAATCTCTGGTAATTAAGGATGAAAGTGTACTTACACACTTGACAACCTTTTAACATGCATATGTGACATGTATCTAAATTAATCGTTATAGTAGGTTTCGGATAACAGATGGTTAAACAAAAAAAGACGTAATGATAGAGGAGAAGTACTAACCGGACGGCGGCTTCATCAAATCTTTTTTCCGGTTGCCGTTGCCGGAGAACATGAAGATCACCACCGGGACAAAACTCAGTCAACAAAAGAGACCATTTATCAGTGTCCAACGTTGTATAAAGGGTAGGCAAAAAAGGGTGGTCCAACATTTCCAATATTTCCCTTTCTGTCCTAGCTCTACCTTCTTTACTCCTACTAACCAATTCCTCTTTATCCATCACTTTAGCTGCAAACAAACACCCTTTATTTCCCTTTAATTCAACAAGATAAACAGAACCAATGTCACCACTCCCAACTTTTTGAATGAAGCTAAAATCATCAAGGCTCAAACTCGCGACTTCTGTCTGGACACGACGCATGGCGTTCCAACATGGATCGTTAGACGTTGCATGGGGCTTTATGGAGGACGAAATGCAAGTATGAGCATTGTATATGGTGGTTTCCACCTCCGAGTTCACGCTAAGACGGACTTCTTCTACCTCTAACGTGGCGGAGCTAATGGTTGGAGATGGTGACAAGTCGACATCCTCGTGGACCGGAGATGTTAACATGGTTTTGCCAGAGAAGAAGAGAAAATAATGAAGGTGATAAGATGGTGGAAATGTTGTTTGGTGAGTTATAATGGAGAGGAGAATGGAAAGAATTTCATTGTGTTTTGAAGGGTAGGAGAAGGATCAAAGAAATGTAGATTTTTGGGCCGGCAAAATGGTTGTGGGTCAATCGTGCCGGCGGTTGGAGAGAGTCCGGGCCCATATTCATGGCCCGAGCAGTTTAAGAGTATGATATTTTTGTATTATATAAGATTAGTTTTTGGTACCTCTTGGGTGGCATATTGACTATTAGTTTAGTTGTGTATATCTGAGCCATCTCAGCTACAGATATTAAAAACAATTTACCTATAATGTTCTTGAGGAATATAAAGACATCCTATAGGATTCTTACGGAAAAAACTTATACATCAAGTAAATAAATGCAAAATACGTGTTTCCACATAAACTTTTATTATTTAACCGTAGTTAACTGACATGTATTCTTCCTTTAATTTGTGACTTTTATGATTAAATTGATTGGTCTTATATAAACACCGGTGCGGGTAAATATTTCAAGTTCCTTTATTAATGTTAACTAGTTTGTCTTCTGGTGTTTGCAAGTTTTACAGCTCTAAAAGATTCAGGTTTCTCTTACTTTGGTCAATTCTTTTGTAGCTCAGAACCTTGGCTAGTGACCTATATATACTTGATAAATAATGTATTTATGCTTTGTGGCATAATATACTGCAATCTTGTTTTGCATGTCAATGCTTTCTCAGCAGATTCAACATAAAGTACAGTGCTAAAAGGAATAACTTATGTATTACAATATTACACAGAAATTGGTAGAAAGAGTCAAGGTAGAGAGACTGATTAGTGCTATTACAACCAGGCATGACAAACCATATCTATAAAATAAGGACCCCAGCCTGGCTTCTCCCTACTGTACAACAGCAAAATTTATGCAAAAACAATGAGGAACTTCCATATGGAGAGCTATGAGATATAATGCATACTGAATCATTGCATATCCAGGCATCAACGCTTAATCGTCCGAGGTTGAAAGCTTCTTAATATTGACTGTAGTTAGTATGTTGTTTACAGAAGAACACAAATAGGAATAAGCTGAAATGTTTAATAGAATTTCAGCTTGTGAAGACCAGGCAAAACAATAATCTGTATCTATTTTACACTTTGACTGGCTCAATGAATAGTCATTACCCATAGAAGAATGTCTATGTCAAACATGAGACAATCAACCATCCAATCATTTGTGGGGTTGCTTTCATCATAATCTTGAACCGACTTGATCTCATACTATGTAGGTTTTCTGGGAACTTTTTGGACCGCGCTTTCTTCTGGGATTAGAACTGACAGCACAAGAGAAGGCATTGAGAAGCTCAGAGTCTTCTTGAGTTATGAGGATCTTTGCAGCGCTTGGATTGGCTAGGAGAAGCTTGGCGACGAGGTATCCAGCTATTGACCAAGTCTGGAAAAGGCGAGCTTGTTTCCCTACGAACCTTGCTTTTTTAGTGTCATAATATTCCGGCCACTTGTCTCGTGATATGCGCTTCTCTGCAACTTCAACAGCTTTGGCAGCAATCTCGGGTCTATTCATTTTAATAGAAGCAACAGCCAGCTACAAAAGTTACAAGAGATACTACGTCAACTTCAGATTCCTCCCAGCTGATTCTATAATAATACCTAGAGAAACTAATTCAATTGCTGGACAGAAGACGAGCAAACCTTCGGCAATACTACTTCATACACGAAGAGTATCATATATCACCGTGAAATTAGTTCAAAACATCAGCAGTATCTTTTTCTATCGTACAAACTTGTGCAATTTCATTAGATGCTAGCATGATAAAAGAAATAAGACGAATGATGAGATTCCCACGATAAAAACAAGACTAAGAATGCACCGTAATGCAAGTCATTCTTTGTAACGCAATTGTCGATTAACTAATGAGACATAACACAAAACAGAGAAGTAAGCTATAACATAAGTGATTATATTAGCAACGTCATGCACTGCAACGAAAAATCAGATCGGGAATGTTTAAAAGATTCTTGATAATAAAATATAGAAATGAAATGTTCTCCAACCCAAGATCAGATTGGCTACAAGCACCCAGTTCCGAATTCAAGATAGAGAAACAGATGTTACCTGCCAAAGCAAAGTTGGCCATGCACCTCCATTATGGTAGGACCAAGGCCTGCATCACAAACAAGAAGATAATGTGAGATGAAGAAAGATAATAGACTAAGGCATTAAGAGCCAATAGAAGACAAAGAAGTAAACTTTTTAACGTAACCGAGGTAGAACATTACGTGTTCTTGGGATCACACCCTGTAATAATCTGCCACTCCTGACCCTCAAGAGCAGGGTAGCATATTTTAAAAGGCATATCCGCTACTAGGTCTGCCCACTTCGCCTCAACGAGATCCAATATAGCATGTGACTGATCGTCTGTTGTAAGACTGCAGACTATAGACCACAAGTTTCCTAGAGAAAAGAAGCGAAAATCCATGTGAGCAGGTTGCAAATTTCCAATCAAATATCCACCTTTATTAGGCATCCATTCAACTAGCCAAGGAGAAATCTGATCTGGGTAAATATTGAACTTATTAACTGCATCATAGGAGTACTCCTCCGTCTTGTACCGGTAAATCTCATTTAGCTTTTTCATATCAATCCAATAGTATTCTCTAATATGAAATGATAAGGCAACAAGACGATTATTTAATGCTCGGATAAGGTCAGCTGATCCATCCTCTGGTGCAAGCATTTCCCGAGCACAAAGTAGTGCTGAATGAAACAGCGCCTGCAACAAATTAAAATGTAATCTTAAACAACATTCGCAGGGAGCAAATTGAGATAGCCTAAAGCCAAGGTGGATCTGACAGTACAAAAGCTAAGGTTAATTAAGTTTCAGATAAAGAAAAAATACCTCTAACTGCATAGAAGATCATCACACATGAGTTGAGAGGTACAGAAGAAATGCACTAAAAAAAATGGTTCTGAAAAGGAAGGTGGGCGCAGAATACACAGAAGAATCTACATGCTCGTTATTGTCCATATTAATCATTCAACCACGGTTGCATTAAACACTTCAAGGAAAATCCTTGGATTTGATTGACATGATGAGATACACATGGGTTGCATCATAACAGTCTTCCATGAAAATGAAGGAACTACGATGAACTTAAGAAACTCTTTTCTGATCTAATATTTAAAGTACAATGACCTTTAAAACACATACCTATGAGTAAGGACTCCTATTCAGATGAACTAAAGCTGTAAATCCATTCTTTCCCATCCCCAGCATCTATAAAGTCAGTATAGTCCAGTAATTTCTGACACCCCATCGAAAAGTAACCAACAAAAAACGTCTCTATTGACCTCAGATTGAATAAACAACAGCACGAGAATTTCTGGAAGATACATCATTTGATTTGCCTGCATTTGTGTACTTCTCTACTGAGGAAAATAGAAGAACCGCACGCAATTTTCACTCAGTTCAGGTCCCACACAAGTCCCCACTGCGAGTAGCTTCATAAGTATTTAACAGGGGAAAATCTCAGTAGCATAGTGCAGCAGAAGAAAACTTGGAATTACTCTGAGGTGGAGAATAGGCTCCAAAGATTTTGTGACTGATCAATATTCTCAAATCTAGTAAAGGACTAAACCAGCCATTTTTTGTTCAACAATTTTTCCGTCCCATCTAAAGACTAATCTGCCATAACAGCTCTTTTATTACAGTGATAGAAATCAAACCTGAATCTCCAAAGGGTGACCATGAATTCCCATACGGCGATCTATCATGCATGAACCGTCAGTCACCAACAATGTCGGAAACATATCAAAGCCATCAGCAAGACATAGTCTTAGTATCATTTTTATTCCCGTCTGAACATCAATTCTCTCCTGCACTGAGAGATCACCAGAGCTCTTCCCATATGCACGTAACAAAATAATCCACCACAGTCCTGGGATTAACAGTTACAGTAAATAGAGGTCTCTGTAAGCACAAGAATGACAAGGTAAAGAAAACACAAATAAACAAACTCTTTTTTTCTTGAGGGATCTTTTTCCTACCGGAATCAACTGGGGCAACGCGACCAATTGCTGCCTCTCCAAAGTCTGGATCCAGTACCTCTTCTGTCGCAGAGTCATCACCATCCAGTGGAACTGTCCGGACTTTGAAACTAGCGGGCATCAGCCCTTGACCGGGACTATGACAATCCATCGTTTTCTCCCAGCTCTGCAAAATAATGTCATATCAGTTGTAATTTTTATAAATTTTTTCCCTGAGATCTGATCAAGATACTCGATAATACAGATTGCCCTGAAATCAGAATCACTTCTCATTTGATCTAAGCTTGGTACTAAGATTGACCATCGCAATTAATCCATTACGAGAACTTTTAGACTGCACGAAATGCTAGCCAGATTAGCGGAGTATGTAGAGAATGTTCAGGTTTACAACCTACGAAACATCTTTTATTAAAACTGAAAACAACTTAGAAGGTTGAACCCACAGTTTTCACTCCTTTACTACAGTGTTTAAAGGTAAACCGCACTTGTTCCATGCAGGATAAATAGCTGCCACCCACTCCTCCTCTGTTTTGAGAAACATGTGAAAAAGAGTGGCAGAAGAGAAGGAGGTCTGTATCAGTGACTTTTGTATACTTTTAGGAAACATCAATTTACAGTGTAACTGGACTTTACACTATTCCAGTAGTTGAAGACGTTTACTTCTAAAATCCCAATAGAAAGCCCAAGTAACTTACGATAAATCATTTTTTATCTTTCCGAGCTGTAACTAATCATATAAGAGAAGCTATTGGGGGAAATGCCCATTCCTTCACCAAACATGATCAGTCATTGCAAGCATATTTTTCTGATACAATCAATCAACCAGGATTCAATCTTGAGTTAGTTGGGGTCCTTAACATCACATTAAGTATTCTAAGGATTCATCATAAGTAAATAATTTTACTCTGACTGTCAACTTACCACAACCCTCCTCATTTACCCGAGTTTGGGGCCCACCACGCTTTTCAACTCTCGTATAAATATTTTACTGAAAGAAATATCACCCAAAAAAAGATTGGAAAGAGGTGTGCTCGATGCTTGCGAGTGAATGCTTAGCACACGTGTTTTTA